AGGATCGACGACCAGCGCATGCGCGAACGAGAAGTTGCCCTCGCCGATCAAGAGTATTTTATCGGTAGGTGCGAATGGAATGGTAGGTCGGAGAGCTGGCACTTTCCCCTTGCCTTTATGCTTTGTCTTGAGTTCTGCAGCTTCAGCGGCATGTGCGGCTTTCTCTTTGTTCTTGAGCCGAGTCTGCTGGGATTGCAGCGTTGCTTTTAAGGATGTTTTCTTTTTGTGCCCCATGACTCTCGATTCGAAGTGACCAGTTGGTCAAGGTACGAAAATGGAATCAGGTATTTACTAATTATTGATTGACATCGAGCTTTTATGCAATTGCTCCCGACTCAATACGACGATCTTCAATTTCATGCTCTGGACAGTGGAGTCCGCAGATCTGAGCGTCGAGCTCTATGGAACGCTGCTATATGCATGTCGTAGTCTCCCGATTCACAGTCGTTTAACCCCGACTCCCCATCGCTCCGTGAACTTGAATACAATGCCAAAGTCGCCATCCTGGGGTAAAGACACGAGCGCCGGAGAGGCAGTCCTGCCGAATTAAAGACATTTCTCCTGCGAAGTATTGCCTGATGAAAGAATCAGCACAAAAATGAACGAAAAAGATAAGCACATTAATATTGTTTGAAATGAGATCTGCAAAATCTTGTCGCCTTCAAGCTTCAAGAGGGTGGTATTGTACAATTGACAACCTGGTCTCACGTGCACGGTACGCCGCGTACCAAGTGCAGTTCTTTCGTCTGACTCACACGCCGAGCGTCAGAGGATGCGACTAGAGCTCAGGTTCTCGCATTCAAGGCTCCCGTCTAGCCGGCGAGACTGTTACGCACTTCGAAGTTCCTATACATGAAGGCGGTGAGCTGAGCTTAACTTTCAATCTGGTGGTCTTTGTACTCACATCCATGTAGATACTTCTACTCTTAGTAGCCTATGTACTATGAAGAAAAAACCGTGTGCCACGCCAGCAGAACTACCTCAAAATAGTTCTTCCCACGAATAGTTCTGCCAGCAACACTAGGTCACTGTCACTCAGACTCAGTACTCACTGAATGTCTATACATGGCGTCAGTTTGAACGGTGATTGCTCGTACCTTGAAGTGATGCCATGCCAGGAAACTAGGGTGGACTCGTGGAAAGGAGCCGGGATGGCCCGTTGACCAGATTTCGTAAGGACCTCACTCAGAGCTGCCTGTGGAGATTTCTAAACACATCAAGGATCCAAAACCCACTACCAAGGTAGCGGGAACTGAACCTCGATCGAGGCCTCTAGCCTAACTGTCGCATCCTGCCTAATCTGGTGATCTGCTGCGTCACAGAAACTGACTGGTGACAGCACATCGCTTATATCATACTATGCTGAGGACAATGATATAAGATCTCGGAGAGCAAACCGCAGAAGTTGACCCATCTGTTGCTGGTATCTGTTACATGTCTTCTGGCATAATCATCCTCTTTGTGACTGCAGCGACAGTTTTTTTCTACAGCCGTCGACGCGGTCTACTCCCTGGGCCACCTCCAAAGCTCTTTATTGGAAATCCCCATCAACTTCTGCCAAAGAACGAACCTTGGCGGGCGTATGTCACGTGGGCTAATATATACGGTGCATATCGTCTAATTTTCCGCTTGCTGCAAGGCTTGTTGACCTATATCTCATAGGGCCCATATTCTCCTTCCGCGTGCCCAACCGGCAATTCATAGTGCTGAGCTCCCTAAAAGCGGCTACTGAATTGTTCGATGCACGCGCCACTATGTACTCTGATCGTCCAAAAGTGTGGATGCTAGAACTCGCGAAGCGCAATCTGAACCCGTTCAGTATATCTTACAATCACCCGTATTTCAAGGCGTATCGCACGATCTTCAAGAACAGTCTGAGTACCCGTGCTATACAGAACTACCAGTCGGCGCAAAGTGAAGAATGTCGTGTGCTGCTTGACGGTCTACACAAGAACCCTGACTGTTTCACCGATCACATCGGAAAGTAAAATTCTTGCGATTGCTTGTTTACTCGTTTCTCATTGGAGGTGCAGGAACGCAGCGGCCGTCATCCTTTATCTCGCATACGGCTGGAAGGTCACCGACGATGACCATCTCGTTAGTATGCTGCAAGAAGCCTTTGACTCCACTGCCGTGCTAATTCGGCCTGGACGTTGGTGGGTCGAGGGGATGCCATTATGTAGTCCCTCTTTCATTTTCCGAGTTACTACAGAACTAAGCTAGTTAACCTTCCATGAGTGCGTTTCCTACCTTCATGGTTTCCAGGGGCAGGTTTCAAGCACACGGCCGTTGACTATGGGAAAAAGATGACTCGTAGTGTTGACACAGTACCATTTAACTGGACCAAATAGCAAATAGTAAGCTTTGCTAAGCAATTTTGTGAGTCCGTGTTATCCGTAGTCCTGACCAATTGTCATCGCTGATCAGCAAAGCGGCAGTTATACTTCATTTCAGAACAGCTCCTTCCGGAGGTTGGGTCCATGGTCAGCGCCCAACAAGAAGATATCATTATGCGGTGCAGTCAGGTGATTTATGTAGGGGGATTGGACACCGTAAGACATCTTTGCACCCTCCCTTTTGAAACAATCATTGGCATGAGCAGACAGCATCATCCATGAAGTCCTTTATTCTGGCGATGGTGCTTTATCCCGAGGTGCAGAAGCTTGCACAGGTAGAGATCGATGCCGTCGTGGGTCAGGATCGATTTCCCACGTTCGAGGACAAAGACAAGCTTCCTTACATCGGAGCGCTCGCCTTAGAACTCCTCCGCTGGGCACCCGTGACTCCGCAAGGACAGCCACATGATTTTTTTGGGGTTCCCCCTCACCCTCAGCAATGCAGGGGTTCCCCACCACGCGATGAGGGAAGACGTCTACGAAGGGTACCACATTCCCAAGGGTGCGGCCATCATTGTGAACTTTGTTTCCATGTCACGGAATGAAGAAATATACCCCGACCCATTGGAGTTCAGGCCTGAACGCTTCCTTGGTCTCACCCCAATCGGACCCTCGCAAGTTCATGTTTGGGTTCGGGCGCCGTAGATGCCCTGGTGCGTGCCCTTTACATGACACTGTCCAAGCCGCCATTGAACAGTAGCGTCTTATTTCAGGGTTGCATCTTGTTGAAGCCTCATTGTACCTCAATACTTCTTGTATCCTGGCTGCGTTCACGATTGCCAAACCGCTTGATGAGAGATGGGAAGAGATCACACTTCCTCCAGAATACGAGAACATTGGTCCAGTCTGGTAACTCGTCCCTCTTTGAGCCTAAAATATATTCTTACACACCCTAAATCATTCGAGTGCAGGTTCATCCCAAGGAACCAGGATCTGTTGGCAACTCTCTCGCAATGATCAGGACATCAGCGGAATCGGGCTAACCCGCACGGATTAGTATGCTTACAGTAGATTATATGTAGTGCGGTAACTACACGACCGCTTCGTGCTGAGGGGATGTTGTGATGTTGTGAGCCTGTCGGCTTACAGTCGAAGTTCTTGACATCGTGACCGATCCATGGACGGACATCGCTGACACTGTAAATAACGAATTTCGGTACGGATAATAGTGGTGAGAACAGAAGATCTGACGTACTTGACACCTGGAGTATTGATATGTTCGCCGGTAACACCGGAGCAAATTGCGTGTGGGGTGGACTTGAGGTCGGCGGGCAAGCCAGAGTTGCGGAGAGGTCACCCCCTGTGTTTGTCACTGCTGCAGTGGCGCCAGCATTATGAGGCCTTCCTAGAAACTTGATAGAAAAGAAAGGTGAACTTCGGGAACAAGAAGATGAGATCTGAGCTCGCTTTTTTACGCTAGTACAACACAAATGATGGATCCGACATTTCAAATCATCGATGCAGCAGCCAAATTCTCGGTAACTTACTTAATTTTGTGACCCGCAGTTGACAACGGAACCAAACGCATCACTCCGTTAAACGACCCACCAGCACCTAATCATCAGTCTTGAATATTCTGGCGGCAGTTGTATCTTCTTTGTGTCATTACGACAGAAAATCTAATGAATCACTGCTGTAAGCTTTGCCCTATTTATCGGGAACGTTTTCTGAAGGTATGATATTCTTTTGGATAATCCGCAGGAATCCGCGCGTCGCACAAGAAAGGCTCGCAGAACTTTACTGATCGGAGTCCATAAAGGAATGGCCCTCGGATCCGTCCGGTAGTAGTCCTGAGTCTGGATCATCATTGGAAGTAATATGACAAACCTAGTAGACGACATGCAGGCAATCGAGCGGACGGCAGCCGACTCGAAAGCAAAATTCCCTCCTGTTTTGGACATCATTCTTGCTCTGCAAGATATTGTGAGTGCCCAGTTTCATAGGCACTCGTGTCCGCACATAATGATGCTCATTTTCTTCAGCTCGCACATTCACAAGTGCCCGTATGTCTATTCCGATGTACAGTTGATATGCTCATAACGCATACCGTTGGGGCGGCAAAAACTTGATGCATTATAACACATATGCACGACGACATTTGTCACGCAGATGTGACATATGTGACATCCGCCAAATTTGTGACACGAGAAAGTACAGTATCCACAGCGTGTACATGTATTATGCTTTGAAATAACAATCTATAGAAGTCTGCTTGGCATTCAGTAGCTCCTCTCGCTGTAATTGAGCACGAAAAATGCGGAGCTGTGATGACAAATTAAGGGAAAATTGAGGATCACCATGTTGCATGCATCCAGTCTCGAGTTGCTGACACAATTTGAGGATTTCTGTGCGCATGAATGATGGCCCATCTTCTTCTGACTCATCGTCTGAATCAATCTCGATGATTTCACCATTTGTGACTGCAATCTCGTGACGGACTTCATCAGCAATAGCCTGGTCACCACCTTCGAAATTCAGGAGATCTCCATTATCTCTCTCCTCAGCAGGGTCCAGAATCTTGTCAATGGTTAGTAAAGTGCCAAAAATGTGTTTCTGTTCCTTGAGATCATTAACTGATTCCATAAGTTCCTGTTCTGTGGCAGTGAGTTGGACTGGTTTTTGTTGACACGCGGGAATTCGAAGTTTGAGACTGGTACGTCCAAATGCAGCCTTCTTGAGTGTATTGACTGCCCTCAAGGCAAGATCTGTATCTCCCTCAGCATCCATGACAGCTTTAAGTGCTGGCCTCCAGTCAGAATCTGCGAAATGGTCACTGAGATGGGCTTGCAGTTCACTTTCTGCTTCAGGAAGTGACATTTCGGTCCCTGCAAACTTATGGACAATGGTCCAAGCAGCCAGATCAACATGTGGTTGTGGGTCCACAAATAAATCACTACATGATAATGTAAATTAGCATTGATAAAATCAGAATAACAATGAAAATTTTAACTAATGGTTGAATTTGGGCATGATCCCAGCAGTATTCAATTGTTTCTGATGACACAGTGTTCCAGGCTTGTTTCACCAGTGTCATGCCTTCTAGAAGGTTGAGCTTATAAATGCTCTGCTCACCAGCCTCATCAAGATCAATGGCATGGGCACAAAAATAGCAACGATATAGAGCCTTGAAGCACTGGATTATCCCAGCATCACATGGCTGTACATATGGTGTCATATTGGGCTTGAAAAACTCAACATCAATGTTTGAAGGTTGATATGAGACATAATGGGCCAAAAAATTGTCAACAAACAAGCAAATGTGGCAATGTTGCTGCTTCATTTGAAGATCAAGCTTCTTAAGCCACCTAAATTAAGACTGATCAGACTTGGACATGATACAATGAATCATTGATCAACTTACTCTTCAAAAATAACTGATGTCATCCAAGCTTTTTTGTTGTTGTGGTAATAAAACCCGTGCTGTTCTGGTGTTTTCTTTTTAAAGCAGTGTGGTTTTGCTGCTCTTCCAATGAAGATGGGTTCAAGCCATTCACTGCCATCAGCATTACATGCTAGCCCAATAGAAATGCGAAACTTTTCTTTCTTCTTGCCACTCATCTGCTGTGATGCAAGAGCACAGTCAGGAGGCACACTATAATTAATTAAGTTAGCCATCATTATTCAGGAACTAATTCACTTACTAAGGAAAGAATGATGTCTCGTCAAAGTTCCACCAATCTTGCAGGGCAAACTTTGCTAAAATTCTGTGACAACACTCCCTCTCTAATTCAACAGCCTTGGGATCAACAGAACCAGTCTCTCCATGTTGGCAGCGTTCACGGAGCTTATAGGCTTTACAGAATGACTGTACCCATGCCTCGCCAAGCAATCTCTCCTTTTCTGGCACATCAAATTCATTTTCAAATCTCTTCCACTTCTCACATAACATATGTGATGTTACTGTTTCACCTTTATGTTCCATGTGCTGCACCCAAAGAACTAAGGCTCACTCAACATCCGGTCGAGTGACAACTCTCAGCCATTTTGCTGACAGCACATTTGGGTTGTCATCAATGCAAGCTTCCATATTTGGGCAGGTTCATAATTTGCAAGACAGTGTTGATTGATCAAAGTTGAGTGCACCAGTTGGGAGTGATTTGAAGTGTCGGACAATGTCAGCCTGGGTGGCATGAGGGTGAGCATCAATGAAGGTATAGACAGACAGCCAATCAGCAAGAGTGAGATTTTGACATGAATTTGAGCATTTATTGAGAGGTTGAGCAGATGTACAAGGAGTGTCATTTGTAATATTCTGCTTCTTTGCAGGTCGAGTGTATGCGGCAGGCTTATCGCGTGGCTTGCGTTTCAGTGTTAGGGACATTTTTACAAATCAGGACATTAATCCATTCCACACTTACATAGCTGAGCAGGACAATGCTGGAGAACAATAGTTTGGGTGCTACTTATGTCTCGTTGCCCTAGTCATGACCCTCTGATAATGCATATCATCCACACAATAGCTATGCATTATGCCTTATGCATTATGTCTGCATTTTCAGCCCGCCCGTGCTGGGATTGTGAAAAGTCCGTGCATTATGACATATATGCATAGTTACAATATGCAATACGAGCATATCAACTGTACATTAGATGTTATTTCATGATTATCAGATTCCAGACCTCGAAACCCCATACTCCCAAGTCACACCCCCCAATGCGAACTACATTGCCATCGAGCTCAAAGATCGGACCGTCATCGGCACCATCATCATTGAACGCCACCAACAGCTAGATGCAATTTTGCATGAGATGTCAGGTCTGTACGCAGTCATGGATAGTATCAAAAATCTTCGCCTGAAGCTCGTTGAACAGAAGGACAAAATTGTCCAGTCCATGACTCTGCACAAGAGACTTGTGTCAGCTGTCTGGCGCCTGCCACCTGAAATCTTGTCCCACATTTTCATGTATTGTCTCCCAGAAGAACAATACTTGTCGCCTGCGCCACGGCTGGCCCCCATGCTGCTGACAAGAATATGCAGACGATGGAGGGATGTTGCTGTGGCCACGCCTGGTTTATGGTGCAGACTGTTTGTGGACGTCGACTACAGTGACTGGCAGCCAACAGCCTTCGGTTGTAATTCGTGGCTCAAGAGATCACGACAATATCCTCTCTCATTAGCAGTCAAGTTCCTTGCAGATGGTATCGCCAACCAACGGATCCTTCTTCAGCCCTACCTGAATCAAATATCGTCTCTCTTTGCATATTTTCCCTTGTATTGCACCGACACTCCATTTATGTTAACAGAACTCGTGGCACTTCAGGAGCTGGTCATACATAATCTTGATTATAATCCAGCTCTTGTATTATGGATCTCGCAACTTCCACTCACCCTTCGCAGTCTCAAGATGACTGGGGCGTGGCTTAATTTCGAGCAGCTGTCTTTTTTAAATCCCACATGGCCCCACCTAACAAATGTCCATGCCAGAATACTTAAAGAGAGTCAAGTCCTTTTGTTGCTCCGCCTATGTCCCAACCTCTCCTCATTAACGACTCGCATGAGACCCGGACGGCAGGCATTAGTGGCGTACACGCACACCAAACTTCAATCCTTTCGCATCACCGCTCCACGCACACCCGATCGCTGCCTACCTCGCCTGATAAATGCTCTTCTACTCCCCGATTTGCGGGTGCTCGAGGCTATCAATATAACACCGTGGCCTCACAAGGAGTTCAAGGCATTTTTGGCACGCTCAAGGTGTCCCCTGGAGACCCTGATTTTTGGGGCCGGAGTGACTATAACAAATGACCAGCGAGCGGAATACACTGCCCTCATTCCTTCCCTGGAAGTAGTAGTGGATCCTGAGCTTCCTAATTGCCATGACTTACTCATTTTGCAGTATATTAAATATTCTTCATATCATCTAGTATAGTATGACTATAGATCTCTCTAAGCAGTCAATAATTTATGATTGACAGTCACTAACAGTTTGTGCCCTATAGCGCACACATGAGTTGGTGTTGTCGCTGTGGAGTGAAGCAGGAGATGTTTTAGAGGTGTTGTTAAGAAGCGGCGTAGATGCCCGCCTGTGAAGGGCAGGGACGACGAACCGGGCTAAAGCCTCTGTGCCATGTAGTGTTGATATCCTGTTCACGTGACAGGGAACAACAGACCCGATGACAAATTACTAGTAGTCTTGAAGCTGAGGCGTGTTATAGCGTGACTTGTCAGCGAAGTCAGAGTAGTCCATAATTTCATCATTCATATTACATAGAGCACGCATGTCATCAGATCGCAATAATGCTTTCTTCACATCGTTGAATTACAGTGGAATATTGAGCTAAGATCAGTGTCTGGGCTTGCGTTATCTACATAAGTGATCGACGGTGAGGTTCGGGTGAGATCTGGGCGATCATCGTACTTGTGAAGTACTAGGTACTCCACTCCGAGTCTAGACCTGCCTTCCAATGATTGTTTGGGAGCAGAGGCCTAGAGGAAATGCACCTTGTACAGTGCTGTTCCTTTTGTTAGTATAAGTAGCTTTGGGTAGGGTTTACCCTCGATCAAGTGAGATCTTGTGTCGTCAACACCTGTGAGATGCTAGATGTTCTCCCTGTAGCCTTCAATCAGATTAGCTTATCTGTATAAGGGCTAGAGGGATGCATATTGCGCGGTTTTGGGACATTACTTGGGAAAGAGATTAACTATGGGTCCGGGTGCTACCCCTCTCAATCTTTCCATCTGCTGATAATAGTGGAAGGGATGAGAGGAATTGGACACAGAGCCATTTATTAATATTGGCACTGGGATAGAGAAGACGACCATCAGTTTATTCTTCTCAATCTTTCCTTCTGCTCATTGTAGAATGAAAGGATGAAAACGATTAGACTGGACTCATCTATTAATATTGCCACCGGAATCGGATATAGGACGATGATCAGTGTGGTTGTTTTGTCAGGATGCAGCAGACTGCTCACTTATCGGTATGAGGTCAACGTACTTTTTTGTTATTGCACTCACCGCGCAACATGCATATATGTTCGAAAACACATCCTGAGTGCCTAGTTCAACGAGCTCCGTAGGCTCAACCTACTGCTCCTGCTTTGAAGGCTCGGGTCGCACTGACGCGCGCAGCTCCATCGGATATGACGGTCATTGCAGCCTATAGTTCTTATCAATTGAATATTGAAAAACGGGCCCGTGTGTCGATACGCCATTAGACTGATTCTCGAAGATCGTAGACGCGATTAACATTAATATCGTATCACTAGGATGCTTCAAGACTCGATTGATCCGGCAAGCCTGAATATTACTTGAGTGGTCGTGCTTATCCATTACATTCGAGGACACGTTCTTGGACAGACTCCAGAGGGCTCCGGATTCAAGTAGCCTATCATACACGATGTTCGATGTCGAAGCCTGTTGACAGTTGTCTCGACCTAGACGCTTTAGGAGAAAAATCGAGCGCTCTGATCCGTCCGGTGCTCCTCGAACGTTGATATATAGAGTCCGGAGCATTTTCAAAGGACGATAGCGGTGTTTGGCGAACTGCAGCAGCGATATTTTGGCGGTTTATGGTGAGGATCTGCAGCAACCCTTCTGCGAATAATTTGGTTGGATGCGATCTGATAAATAGAAAGATAAACAAAAACCACAAGACTCGCGAGATATAGAAAATGGGCCGTGACTGATAGTGCGATAAGTGGTCCGAGCCAAGTAACAAAAGTGGAATCAGCGACGGTTGTTTGGATCCCAAGCTGCTGCCAAACAACCACTTCCCTTTTTGGACTGACACGTACTTGAGACTAATTATTGGTTCTTATCAACGTCACACATACAGCTGTTCATACTTATTCTCTTCTCCGAGTATCACACCACTCTTTCATCGTTCTTAAATTTGAATATGGTAATTGTGTCGAAACCGTATCGTTACATTGATCCCGACGCAACGTGCTCATCTAGCCTACTGAATTTGACCTGCGAAGGAAGAATGCTCAATTCGCTAATGCAGTCCGGTCGGGCAAGAAAGCAGTGAAGCCTTCACACCAGGAGATAATGGCAAAAAGAAGTCCTATCAGCCTCTGGGCTCTTGGCGTCGTCCTATTTGTTGTTATAGGTGGTGGTGAGTACAACCTGTCTTAGCGCGCTCATTCTGAACCTGACAATGCTACAGTGCTATTTGAACTCGCCAGATTGGTATTCCTGTAATGCATAGACACTCTGAGGAGGACAATATACACAACACACTACTCCATGCCGTCCGCAGCTAGCATTTTCGCAAGGGCATGCGTTACAAATATTGTATCCGTCATGATCAAATTTGGATTCCATCATCGTTCCCTCTTACTCTCCATCTACACCGAACGCTCAACTATCCTCTACTTCCACATCTACGCCAGAATTACTAACGCTCGCGCTGATACTCATACTTTGGCTGCGTGCACTGTTGGCGCCACTAGCTGCTACCGCTTTGGAAGGACCAGCTTCAGGAACGCTTTCGACGCCCTCCATAGCGTCGCCTTCGAGTTCCTTCTCATCGATCCTGACTTCGTCGCCAGCCCAGATACGCATAGTGGGTTGCCAGACCATCACAACGTTATCTTCCGAAGTGGTAGATGCAGTCCAGTTCTCAGATTCTCCTGGTGCCCAGCAAAAGTCTGTGGGACGTGCGGTATGGCCTGGGACAACCTAGTATCATGATCTGAGCAGGGATGCGTGCAAGTGACATACCTCCGTGAATGAACATGAGCTCCGGAGGTCCATCTTCCTGGTCATCTGGTGACTGTTCCACGCCAATCTGGTTAAGATCCCAGATATTAATCCTTCGATCTCCAGAAGCAGAGGCAAAGACTGTAGCAGAGTGGGGAGACCATGCGAGATGGAGCACTTCGTCCGTGTGTGACTCGAAAATGTGCAATTTTTTAGTAGGCGATCTGATATCGTGCAGCACAACAGTCTAGATGACGCCGAAATAAACTCCACTCATGCGAGTGATTAAGTGTATACGTACCTTGTCTGCACTGCCGGTGATGATAAGATATTCGCATGCTGGGCTGAATGCGCATGATAAAATTTCTCTGTCGTGTGCTTGAATTTTCGTCGTAGCTTCAGTTGGAGCTCGGGTGTCCCAGCTGAGGGAGCAGTGAGATTGGTTGGATGGAAATGCAAAAGAATCGCGCTCACAGCAGAAGCATCTTGTCATCTCCCACACTAGCAAGTACGTTTTCTTTGGTCGCATGCCAATCTACGTCCTTTTCAACGAATTAGGCAGTAACTTGCTTGCAAACGTGAAGGATGGTACGAACCCCGACAACAGAGTTATGCCCCTTGAAAACAGTTGTCGGCTCAATGGTGCTAGTGCCCTTTGTATAGGAATTTATAT